GCAAATTCTCTCTTCTCTCATAAGGAATCTGGTTATGATCGGGTGGTTGTTTAAGTCAGATGTAAAAGAGATGAAAGAGTAGGCTTAGGAATTAATAACTGTTGCATGGAAGAATGAGAGTCTTCCCTCAAGCCCGTGTAAGCAGCAGCGAGCTAGTTTTGTACGTGCTATCATGGAGTTTGCCCCACAGAGAGGGCCCAGGTAGAGAACTATAGAAGAATGAAGTTTTTCCCCTTGCGATGGCTACAGGAATGCAATGGAGGATATCATAAAAGCTCGCAGGGTCAGAGGTGAGAGCAGCAAGTCCTCCCCCTGTGCCCCTGCAGGAGCTTCAATAGGTTGGCAAATTGGTATGAAGGGCTTTGGGGGTCAAGTGATCTTTTCGCAACTATTCGAGTAGGCTGTTTGAGAATAGAAGGAGCCACAGGCAACATGCAAAGGAGTCAGCGTGTTTCAAAAAGCACGCTATCTGTGGACACTAAAATCTGAGTTTCCTATATTCTTTGGGTGTCAAGAAATATAATTATTCCTTTCCTTTTTCCAGTCGCTTGGAAAGTTAACAACGTGGTAGCTTGAGAGAACTGAGTAGCCCCCTGTGTATCTGGCCCACCTTTTGTGGTGTGCTTTGATGATTGGGGATCTCTGTGAGCACACATATTATTTAGCTACTTTTGAAGTCTCTAATATATTCTGCCGTAAAGAAAATTTTGCTGAAGATCTTTGAAATGGTTCTAGCAGTACAACCTAGCCTACACATTCTTGCCAGATTCCAAAGTAAGGCTTAGAATGAGAGATACCGTTATTCATATCACATGGATCTTGGCTGACAGAACCAAATGACACAAAGATGCTTGTTTGAATTGGATGGACGCTGTGTGGACATCACAAGTCATGGGCACATTGGGAAGAACGGGGTGTCTGTGCGGTGCACTTCATTGTTCGCATGCCGGACCTGTGCACAGCCCAAGCAGCAGTCTTGTACAGAACGAGGGGAAAAGAAAGGTGCGTTTCAGAGGCGTATGCCTTCTGTTTGCTTGGGCATTCAATTTGGGAAGTTGAATTATATGAAAAAGAATATGGCATCAAGGTTGGAGGAAGACTCATTAACAACCTGCAATAGGACCTTGCTTGTAGAAAGTGAAGAGAACTTAAGCGAACTTGCAGATGAACTTCAAAGAGTACAATTTGCAGTATGCATTCCCTGCCAATATACAGAAAACAAATGTTCTCAAAACTGGACCAACAAGTAGCATAATGTCAAGAGCAAAAAGATTAACATTGTCATGAATTTAATTTTACTTGGATCCACAATGGACTGCCATGGAAGCAGTAGTCAAGATATTAAACAATGTAATTCTTTGGACAAACTTGCTGCAAAAACATATTGAAAGTGTTAAAAAGCAAAGATGTTAATTTGAGGATGGAGGTGTGCCTAACCAAAGGCACAGTGTTTTCGATGGACTCATATGCATGCAAACCCACTACAATGATTACGGCAACCTGAAAATTTGATGCACTTGAATTCTGGTGTTGGTGAAGAATATTCAGTATACCATACACAGCTAGAAGAATGGACAACTCTCTTGGGAGAACTGCAGCCAGAATGGTGCACCTAGAAGCCAGATGGCAAGACTTTACCTCGGATACTTTGGACGTAAGGAGAGGCCAGTCCCTGGAGAAGGACATCGTGCATGGTAGAGGATCAGGTGCAGACGGTGCATGGCTGGTCATTGTTTTGTTTGAGTGCTGAGTTGGAATTAACGCAACAGCTCCTAACAACAATAAGGCAGTTCTTCGTGTGCTACATAGGTGGCGTTCACTCTGAAATATTGGACTTGACTTCTGCTTATTTGTTATCTTGAAACGTTATGGTCATTAAAGGTTCTAATCTAGTGTCCACTACGACAGAAATGTTTATTAGAGCTAGCTATAAACATCTAAATGCCTAAATATTGTAAAAGTCCTAAAACTTGGGTTATACTTCAAAATGATACTAAACTCATGGGGGCCGGGGGGATCATCTGTCTTTGATTTTAGGTCAGCAAAAACATTTTCTTCTCTAAATACTGTATTCTTTGCATACCTTAAGTTTGGCTATGTTGTGCTTTCATATTAATTTGACTTTAGGAAATTTGTGATTTCTCCCATGAATCATTCACTAGTGTGTTGGTTAATATTTATATGCTTGTATATTTTCCAGTTTTTCTATGATTGATTTCCAGCTTTACTCTGTAGTGTGAAAATACTTTGTTTGCTTTCAATCTTTTAAAATGCATCTAAATTTATCTGTGGCCTAATGTGTGTCCTATACATGTGAACTGGAGTGGAGCATACACTGTCCTGTGGTTGGGTGGAGTGTTCTATAATCGTTGCCTAGGTTTATAGTGTTATTGAAATCTTCTGTTTTCTTTTTGATCTTCTTTATAAATGTCCTGTCTAATATTGAAAGTGGTATGTCTTTCCACTCCAGTGACTATCGTAGTGCTATGTATTTGGCTTTTCAATTCTATCAATTCAATTGTTTTATACATTTAGGTGCTCCGATGTTGCGTGTGCCTTATACTATATGGCTACAATTAAAAATAACTACATAGCAGATAAATGCTTATTCTATTTAAGAGACTATCAGCTAAAAGTTGGAGGCCATTTAACAAAATAATATTATATGAGGATAATTGCAGTATCATTCCTCTTTTAAGAAAAATTAAACAATAGGCCGCATTTTACAATGACTGGGTTATTTCAAAAGCACGACTTTACATATGAGAAACAGTAATTTGATGGTATGGGAGTATGCATGCAATCCTAAATGGTTTGGTAAACTTTTGAATAAGTAACCAAAAGTAACCAAACGCACTGCCATGGATTTGATGCTTACTCATTGCAACCCTTACAGGAGAGGTTTCAACAGGTCCCGTGAGTTTCCGGGACTGTAACTCTGAGCAGCAGAGAAAGTCTTGTCTTTCTCCCATGAATTAAATTAAGCAAGTATTAATTTATTACAGATCTGGAAACCTATTTGTAATGATGGCCAAAGGCAGCAATGGTTTGAAATCAGAAGAGACTACTGGGAACGGAGCCTTTTCTTTTTGCTGAATTGGCAGAAATAACTGCTGATTAAAAGTGAACTCATGCAACTGGGTCCACAGTTAGAAGTCTATTGAATTATTGAATTACTCTGGATAGATTTCCTCTCAAGGTACTATTAAGAAACTAATGAAACAAACAAAAATCACAAATGCATAAACAAACAAAAACAACGTAAATGTAATTTCAATAAAACATTGCTCCAAGATACTCAAGTACCAAACTGGCACACATTTTAAATATATTATCAAGGCATTTTAATGCTTCCATATTTATTGTTTTAGGAAATTGTTGTATTAAAAATTAAAGAGGAGACTTCAAAAAGTTCATGAAAAAATGTGCCTAGATACATACTCACAAGGGTTTCAAAAAGTGAAATGAAAAGGTAAGGGAATGTTTCTACCAACCTTTTGAATGCCCCTCCCCACGCTGTGTGTGTGTGTGTGTGTGTGTGTGAGAGTGAGTTTCAAATATTCATGAGGAAGTGGAATTAAAAGATTATGGAATTTTCTACAGGCCTTCTGAAACCCATATACATATGGGATTGGCCCTTGAACAACCAAGAGAGTCGGGGTGCCACACACTACACAGTCAATGAGTTGCATATAACTTTTGACTTCCTCAAATCTTAACAAATTATAGTCTACCATCATCCAGAAGCACTGCCAAGAACATAAACAGTTAATTAATTAGTACGCATTTTGATCATTACATGTATTTTATACTGCACCTACATAAAAGCTGCATTTGTAACTGAGATAAAAGGCTATTTCATAAACAACGCACGCTTTTTGAGCTGACTGGTGTAGTGGAAGTATGGTTTCATGTACTTCCTTTTCCGTTTCTTTAATTGTCCTTACTCTGGATGGATTTCTTTTGAAATGACTGGTAACCCCAGCTTCAGACCTCCACCCCGCACTCCACTTTGCCTTGTGGAGTAACATGACTTTTCTCTGCTTTTGGGGGAGCACGTCTAGCATCACTAGTGGCACCCCGATTGGTGCCATGCCGTTGCTCGCATTGCACTAACCAGGATGAAAAATACGTTAGAACTGTGAGAGATCATTTTTTATTGTGATATACAATTAACTCAAGAGATGAGCTGCTCATGAAATGATTCCTCTCACAGGATGCTTGCTTTTGTTGGTTGATTTTGTTAATCAACATAGAAGTGGACAAACTGTGCGGTTCAAGGGTCATCTGTGTATGGTATATGCTATACGGTTTATGGTGTATGGTGTATATATATAAGTACTTGTGGCACAGTGGTCAGCTAGAATGAAAGGTTGGCAATTCAAATCACCAATGAATGAATGAGAACGATGCGGCATTCTGCTTCAAGGCAGTTCTACGTGGTCTTATAGGGAACTGTGAACTGGACCTTACTTGATGGCAGTGGGTGTGGTATACATGCATGTGCTTGCATTATATATATATGAGGCAGTGTCAAAAATTGTATATATATATGAGAGAGCATCAACACTTCACCTATTAAGACTATTTTTCCATGAACTTGCTGATATATACACACATATATAGGCACATATACACACACACCCTGATGGTATAGCCGAGTTACTCATGGAAATGCCAACTTAAAGGTCAAGTCTGAACTCACTGGCAGCTCCAGGAGAGAACGCTGAAGCTGTCTCCTTCTGCACTGATTGAAAGTCTCAAGACCTCAAGGGGCAGTTCTACTCGGTCTGATAGGTCACTCTTCATTGGAATTGACTCAATGTCAATGACAGTGGATATATATATATATATATATGAAAGTATTAGGAAAAACCATGGGGTCCCTAAGTACAATCTATGTTACAATTCTATTCATGTTTTAATAACAAGATGCACCGTCTTTCGGAGCCAATGGATAAGGACATATTCAGCATTTTAGAGACCGGAAGGTTGCTTACCAGTGGGTGTCAGGTGTCTCCAGGTGATAACAGGTTCAGGACGGCCATTTGCCATGCAGACCAGGGTCACATTGCTGCCTTCATTCACAGTGACATCCGAGGAAATGTTGGAGATCTTTGGTGGGACTGCAAACACACACAAAAATTGGCATATGTTACTCGACCTGTAAACGCAGGCTTGGAATACTGGTCTATGCAACTGAGAAAGGTCAAGTTGAGGTCTGAGCTCATTGTTTCATTGGTTACACACTGTTATAGTTGTGTTACAAAGTCAAAGTGCTTTTAAGTTCCCTGCTTTGCATCTGCTCATCAATTCTCTTAAGGACACCCTACAACGGTATTGCAAGGTGTGGCTATCCCCCACCATGTCCATCTGAGTGCTGGAAATAAAAAATATATACAGAGTAGTATAATAAAAATGTCTCAACTCCCTTTTGATTAAAATAAACTTTACTTGGATATTAGAGGGTGTGAATATTTATGCAAACTAAGGACACAGTTTTCTTAGCGCTGTGTTGCCTAAATTTATTTTCTTATGTGTGTAAATTAAATATAAACCAAGCTCTCTTGCAAATGCCAGGGGAAGAAATTGGTGTTACTTAGTATAAGATTTCCACATTGCTTCAAGATGTGATAATCCCTAATAATTTATAATCTAGTCATATAAGTAAATCATGGATTAATCACTACAGTAGAACGCCTCTAAATAATATCCTGATGCTTAAGAGGACAGATGACATAGTTTTGAGCTTAAACAGAATTAATAAAGCCTAAATCACAGAGAGGTAAACATCACAGAAGTACTATTATAATTATTATTAATATCATTTTCCAGTCTTCTCACTACTAGTATGACAAACAGTTTAATCATAGCAAATATCAGTTAAGCATTTGCCATATGCAAGGCCCTGTATAAAGTATGCTATGAGTATTATCTCAATAATTCCTCAAATAGATAAGGAAAGTACTATTAGTATATGGTTTTTTAATGGCAGGGAAGTCAGGCATTGGGGAAGTTAGGTGAGCGATGGAGCACAGATTTGAATCCAGGCTTACTCCAGGGCCCACGCGCTTAAGCACTTCATCTTCACAGTCCGGGCTACCAGATGGCCCAAACTGACGGAAATTACTTTTTGGTGATGTGAGAAATGAATCCCCAAGGGCAAGCTGTGCTGCCTTCTGACTTCCTTCATTAGCGTTCAGGGTGGCAACATTAGATCCCACGTTGGTTGGCTTGAGTGGGAAGTGAATTAGGGACACATTTCATGACAGAGATTATACAGAGATCACACACTGTAGAGTCTGACTATTATTTTCCTTTTTTTTTAAAAAAAACTCTGAGTTGATTATGCTATTCCTGAGAAAGCAAGTGTTTGTGGAGGAATGGTGGTAGAAATGAGTTCTCCAACTCTTAACCGCAACAACTCAATGTTTTCTCACTTTCCTTGTTCATCAGTGATTCTGTGTGATGACAAATAAAACAGAAACATGTTCTGTTTTTCAAGCACAGAGGCAACTTCCTGACCATCACAGTATCCCTGAACATCCTCATTCGAGAACAATGATGACAACAGGGCCTCTCGGGGACCCAGAGGGTCCCAAGAAGGAGGCATGAAATAATGCTCATGGTTTGAGCATCCCTCTCACATTGACATCTAATAGGGCCTCGTGGTAGGAACAGGTGATTCCCAATCAAACCAAAGGTAAGACTAGGATGTAAGTGATTCTTATTATTAGTGATTTCTATTTATAGAGCTTCTATGTTTTTCTTTGAACCGGCATTAAATATCAATTTCTCATATTTACATATATCTCAGCATATGGTGTCCCCAGCTTCTACAAGGAAGACTTGACCAAAAGGCGTGTCTACTTTACAAGGGAGAACATGAGGCATAGAGAAGAGGGATGATGCCACAGGGGGGTCCCATCCAGCTCTGTGTTTCACATAGGAATCATCTACAGGTCCTCGGTGGCCGAGTGGGTTATGGGCTGGACTGCTAGCAGTAAGGTGAGCAGTTGGGAGAGCGATGAGGTGATGTGCTCCAGTAAAGATGTGGGGTCTTGGAAACCCTACAGAGCAGTTGGAACTACTTTGTGGCAGCAGGTTTGCTTTGGGTCTAGAGAGAAGAGTCACTTGTTTTATTTGTTTATGATTCACAATTCCTAATTCCCAGGTGAGTTGAGCAGTGTTCTAAGCTTCTTCAAAACACACTAGAATAATATAGATCTCACAGTGGTCAAGAAAAAGGTTTCGATTGCTGAGGTGCCTTTCTTCCTACTTCACAGCCTATATACCACAGAGTAACTATGGTAATATAATAACATGGACACAGGTGTAGCCCTGGTAGCACAGTGAGATAGGTATCGGATTGCTGATTGCAAGTTTGGAGGTTGAAACCCACCAACCCCTCTGGAGAAGGAAACTGAAGCTGTTTCCTCCCGTGAACATTGAGTGTCCGAAACCTCATATAAGGTGGCTATACTTGGAATCAACTGGATAGTAATGGGTTCGGTTTGTTATATGTATCCCACACAGTATTTCCAGCACTTGTCTGTCAGTGTGTCTGACTGGGGTGGCTTGTGTGTTGCTGTGATGCTGGAAGCTATGCCACTGATATTTCAAATGCCAGCTGGGTCACTCAAAGGGAACAGGTTTCAGCGGAGCTTCCAAACTAAGCACAGACAACAAAGAAAGACGGGGCTCCCCACTTCAGAAGAAGCAGCCTCTGAAAGATGTGTGCATGGCTTCCAAATGTTGTCAGATATGGAAGGCCTGAAGAATGGGAGCAGGACCTTGTCAGAGACAGTGGGGAGGACAGGCCCCGCAGGGCCGAGGGCACTCCGAATGCGACTGAGGAGGAGCTGATTTCTCAGGATGGACTCGGCCATGGTGACAGGAGTTAGGTAAAGCCTGGGGGATGGGAGCTTTTGGGAGCTTCATTTGCTGATGGAGCAAGACTCAAACTAATGAGCAGACCTTAGAATGTGAATCTAGGAAAACTAGAAGACAACAAAAATGAAATAGAAAGCATAAGGATCGATATCTCAGGCATTTAGGGGACTGTCATGGGTGGATATTGACCATTTTGAATCAGAAAATCCTATGACTTACTATGCTGGAAATAACACAATCAAGAGGAATGGTGTGGCATTCATTGTCAAAAAGGACATTGTAAAATCAATCATGAAGTACAATGCCAACTGTGATAAGATCATATCTATCCAACTTCAAGGAAATACAATCCATACAATATTATTCAAACTTATGCGCTATCACAAAAGCTAGTGATTAAAAGATTGAAGATTTATAGCAAAGATCTTAGTCAAAAATTGATCAAACATGCAATCAAGATGCATTGATAATAATTGGCAATTGGAACGCAAAAATGTATACAAAGAGTACAAAAATTGTACACAAACGGTAGTTGGCAAATATGGTGTAGGTGATCGAAATGAAGCTGGAGATCACAGATTGAATTTTGCAAGACCAATGACTTGTTCATAGAAAATTCCTTTTATAATTATTATTATCAAAAGATCACTTTATTGGGGCCTCTTACAGCTCTTATAACAATACATATATCAACCTAAAAACATATTTGTACATATACTATCAATATTTTCTAAACATTTAATTTCTATTGAGCCTTTAGTATCAGCTCTTCTTTTTTCCTTCCCTCCCGCTCCAGACCCTCGTGACCCCTTGATAAATTATAAATAATAATTATTATATTTTTTTAATATATTACACTGATCACTGTCTCCCTTCCCCACAGTTTCTGTTTTTGTCCCCCTGGGGCAAATTCCTTTTCTAAAAAGCACAAAGGGTGACTGTACACATGAATTTTCTCATATGGAATACACAGAAATCAAATTGATTACATCAGTGGGAAGATACAATAGAGAAGTTCTACATTAGCTGTCCAAACCAGGTCAGGGACTGATTGTGGAACAGACCACTAATTGCTAATATGTAAGTTCAGGATAAAGCTAAAGAAACTTAAAACAATCCACGAGAGCCAAATACGACCTAAAGTCTATCTCACCTGAATCTCAAGAATAACCCCAGATATTGAACACTAACATCAGAAGACCCATTGAGTTGATCTGAAGATGAGAGGCCATCAAGACCATCATTCATGAAGGACAAAAAGGTCATCAAAAGACAGGAAAGAAAGAGACAATCTAAGTAAGTGTCAGGAGAGACTCTTAACCTTGCTCTTGATTGTAGAGAAGCTAAAGCAAATGGAAGAGAGGGTGACGGCAAAGAACTAAACAGAAAATTTAATAGGGCCATTCAGGAAGACAAAGCCAAATAGTATAATGAAATGCGTACAGACCTTGAATTAGAAACCCAAAAGGGAAGAACATGCTTAGCATGTGTGA